AATATACATATCTAGAGCAGGAGCATTAACAACATCTTCAGACGTTGGTTCAGGAACCATGGAAGAGTGGGCATCTCATGTCGACCTGTCACAAACATTGTTACCCAATTACTTAAATAAGTAATTACTTAAATTACTTATAAATGGAGTATTCCAGGGAACAGCAGCATAGTTCTAATCACGCCAGAACTATGTGTTTATACCTAACAAAACGGACTTCATATTTTGGCTGCTTTAATAGGACCAAACATTGTGCTTGTCCATGAATGCCATTTTCTAAACACAATACACTGTGCGGACTTCTAAGCACTAATTAAAGATTACGACAACCCCTCAATTCTCGCAATTGAAAACAACTTTTCTTTAAAAGATGTATTCCAATTTTACAAAAGAAGAAATTGTTTTTAGAGTTTAGTTTATGAAGTGATTAATCATTTAATACTAAATGTATTGTGCTCTTATTTATCATATTGATAATGGATAATAAACAATGGGCCCGTTTTTGCTCTGTTCACGATTATTTTCTTTATTACATTAATGATCCTGATGATTTTTCATTATCTTTACCTATGTCGTGATGCAGATCGAAAGTTTTTTGCATGGGTATGGGGGATATTGCAACAAATTTCGAACCTACTGATTAAACGATTTCCATTCAAACAAATGGTAAATGTGGAATTCGGGTCAAAATCCTGCTAATTAATTTTTACGTTTTAAAACTGCTTTGTTTACATTTTCTTATTGGTGATTTATTTTTAAGATAAATATTTTTGAGAATGCAATGAACTTCCAGATTTACGGTATACACTCCGTATGCAGGTGATGAAGGTATATTGCTGCATAAGTAAGGGAAGTTGACGATAGAAAAGTTAAAGTCATCACGTTTATCATATAGCTTGGTTGTTAGATTGCCATTAACGTCTTTGTCAAGTAAAGTATCCCAATATGAAACAGATGTGTCAGACTCTGTAGTATCTTTTATCTCAAGCTCACCAAGGTATATCGTATCGACAGAGGAATGGAAATTACCATTGTTAATTGACAATACGTCGTCGATATATCTAAATGTCGAGTTGAAGGCCACAGCAAGTGTTTTCTTCTTTTCATGCATAAGAATTTGCACAAATTCTGTTTCATATGAATATAAAAATAGGTCCGATAATAACGGAGCGCAATTGGTACCCATGGGGATTCCGATAGATTGTTGGAATACCTGGTCTCCAAAAACCACATAGATATTGTCAATCAGAAAATCAAGCATCTTTTATATGTCAACGTCAGAGTGCTTGTGTGTGCAATCAGAATGTTTTTAACAAAATAATTTTGCAAATGACCTATGACCAGGAAAGTAAATTTACAAGTTCCATTTTTATTAAAAAAAGCAGCTGTCAATGATATCAAAAAGCCAGGACTTTAATTTATCCTGGGGAATGGTTGTGTGTAAAGTTGAAAAGTCTTAAAAGATTTTAAGCTATTGATTTTGGTAGAATCTTGTGATTTCAAATTCTCCAAAAGTTCCTTGGAATTTTTGAGTATCCACATCTGATTCACACCACGTCTTAAATATATTGTTGCAGAGTACGCTTGAAGTTTTTTAATTCACTACTGTCAATATCTCAGTGAGGAGTTAGGAAAGAGGCTTGGTTGAAAATTTACTGGAACCCGCAATGCATCTTGGTTTTAAGGATTTTTATGAAGTTTCGGAATCCAATGTACGAGGATTGATCCAAAAGTAATGTCACTGTGTCAATATCTTTAATATTTGGCGTCATATTATCAAATATTATATACCAAAAAATGCATAAAAATAAATCTAATTAAAATTGAAATTTTCATTGAATAAAATTGATTTAAATTAAGTTTATAGACGTTTAAAATATTAAACATAGGGGTTGTCGCCGCCTCACAATTAAACGTCACGTTTTAAAGTGTAATTTGTTAAAATGAGAAAAGACAAACCCATGAAAAAGCATAAAAAAGCGTCTAATCGCCCAATATTTTAAAAGATAAAATTTTTCGACATTTTCTAATCTGCAGTAGAAATAAAATGACGTCATTGCTTTTTGATAATAAACATAACTGTAGTTTTAATCTGGTGTATTGAACAAAGGAAATGTCGAAATGGTCGAAACGCTGAAACGAGCTGTGATGCATTTTTGCTGCGATCATGTATAATTTTGTTGATTTTAGTCGACTGGTAGCAATTTTATCTAGGTTGTGACATTACTTTTGGATCAACCCTCGTATATAGGGTAGTTAAGATTCATTTTTGCTCTGTGGAATATTTTAAAATATTTAAAACTGACATATGATTTTGATTTTTAATCTTTTCCTAAGAAAGGGAAGTATGGGTATAAGAAGGATTACATGTACCATGTGTAGAATTTAATCCAAGTTCTTCTAAAATACAATTTATATAATGAGCCTTATAAACGAAGACAATGTTGCTACCTGCTTTGTCGGCAGGGACCAGCACTACTGATCATGTAATCTATCTTATTCTTTTTTCACTTCTGATTTATTGAACACAAAAGGATAGATGGTTTTCATATTGCCCCTCAGTATTTAAATACGCAACTTTAACATGGATCTGATACATTTAATTCATTCTGACAAGGTGTCAACGTCTTCTTTTCTGCTGACAAGGTCATTGTATCGACCATAGAATACATGTATACGAAATTATGACTTTAAACGATACTGAGGATATTTTTGTTTCATCGGCTTGCTTGTCAATAATTTTAAAGCTTTATTATTAGGATACAATAATTATTAACGTCTTTTTATCGCATAATATCCAGATATGAAAAAAATCTGTCATCTTGTTGTATTTTCTATTTTAAGTCCACTGATGTAATATTAAAAGCTACTATAGTTTGAAAAAGAAATTTAATTTCAGATCCATATTAATTTTCGAGAAGTAAAGTTTATATTTGATATTTCAAGCAGATTATGGATACAATGCAAGTTTCTTTCGTATTTCTTAATTTCAAAAGTTGAGCAACCATTGACGTGTACCCCGTAAAATGAAGCTAATAAGTGGATTTCAAAATAACAATGATGTCATTGAAAGATAGACTGTGCAGCACCCAGTACAGCTTGAAAACTGAGTAGATACATGGACTAAAAACCGTCTTCTATCGGTTGATAGAGACTAATCAAGACGATACCGGTCTAACATCTCTATGTTAATCGATTTGATTTGAATGCTTCCAATTTCATGAAGAAGAGCTGTTGACAAGAAAGACATGTCAATATTTGTCGACACCAATCTGCTCAACTATCTATCCTTTGATATATGCTTTCATATTTACTACCACTCGCAAACATTCTTTTACAAAGTTGTGTGCCCTGATGAGGTGTACAAGGAGGAATATCCCGGATTGTAAACAGCATCTAAAATTTAAAACTCAAATAAAGCTAAATACAATAATACACGACAATAAATCCTATTTGATTATCAAATATGGACAGTAAACAAATATATCAAGCCATTTACATGGCTTCATGATGAACCATTAAAGTAAATTATGACAGACAATGCTGATGTTTGTGCAAGTCAATACTTGGTTATGCCGACAGTGGTCAAGATCAACTTGTCCAGAAGTAACTTTCATATTGAAGAAACTAGTCGCATGTTCAATGATGAACACTTTATATGTCCTAGTACTTGTTCTAGGACTTAGTAGTCCCTGTTTTTCTCAATGTATTTCTGAACTTTTTAGAAGTAATAACAATATTTATGATGAAAATACCTCACTTGGAGTGGGACATGCCTTTAAAGTTTTGGTCAACATTGATGTTTGGACGTGCATGGAACTCTGCTATGATTTTGCTTTGTGTCAATCAGTGGACTGGAACCTAGATTATAAAACCTGCAGGTTAAATACTAGATCCGCCACTGTGTACCCAAGTCTTCGCGTAACTACAACACGCACCATCCATGTCGATAGTGAACATTTCCCTGATGTAAGACACGGAATATTGAATACAAATAATTGATATCATGTGCTAATAGCTAAAAAATTCAAACAATTTTAGGAATTGTAAAGATCTTTTACGAATTTATATAATTTTTTCTTAAGGAGGTGTCGGGCGACTGCTTCAACCATACCTGTGATAACACATCCATGTGTGTCAGTGGCAACTGTGTCCCTGTCTTGGAAGGTATTGTATTAGATATTATTTAAATCTAAAAATAAAAAAAAGCATAAAAATAACTCGTCCAATCGTTTGAAAAGAAGATAAAGTAAGAGAGAACATAAGGGGCCTGGTGATATGGCTTTGCTATATTTTATTTTACAGGTAGAACCTGCGACTCTCCTCCTGAAATCCCAAATACAGAGCAGCCCTCTCCACCAGGTCCTTTCCCTGTTGGTTACACTTACAACTACTCGTCGTGTTTAGAGGGACACGAACCGTCTGGGGAACTCTACACCACTTGTCAGGACAATGGACAATGGACGACAGCTTTGTTTAGATGCATAGGTATGTTTTGTAGTTTTGAGCAGTTTTCATACCGATCAAGAAGGGAATAATAAAACATTTCCTATAAACTTTTCGTGAAACTCAGTTAGGCACTGAATGTTTGTTAATCATTTTCGAATCTTTTTAAAATTGAAATAAACTGAAACAATTTAAATGTTTAGCAGATAATGGTAGGAAAACTACTTTGAAAATATAATTTTTTTTTACCAAACAGTTTGTGTTGACAACCATTTATGTACCGATGAACCAGTGAAAATTTTTGCTAGTGCTCAGAGTACAATGAAACTTTAACATCTAATTATAGTGCACTGAGTTGACCTATTTTTAAAGATATGCTTTGACCGGCCAAATAATAAAGAATTAATATACTTTCTACATATATTTTCTAGTTGACCAAGATTGTACTGCGATTTTATACAAGAACCTCAGTTTATTTGGAAAATCCTCTTCTCTGCTCCTGGGTATTAAATAAACTAACTAAGTACGTAGTTATGATGAGCAGGAAGGGCCAGGACGGTGTTTACACTATTTACCCGGACGGTTTCGGGATTCAAGTTTACTGCGATATGACGACAGAACTCGGAGGCTGGACGGTGAGTAGTTTTGTTATTTACACTATCACAGGGTCTCCAGCTTTCTGTGATATGACGTCAGAAGATGGAGGTAGGACTGTGACTAGTTTTGTTATTTATAAACCACTATCACGTGGTTTCCTGCTTTCTGTAATATGACGTCAGAGGGTGGAGGGTGAATGGTGAGTAGTTTTTTTTATCAGGGTTTCCTGCTTTCTTACAATTGAGAACAGTTGGTAGATGGTGAGCTAAATACTTTTTTTTAATCTATACCTAAACGGTTAAACGATCGAGATTCCCTGTTTTCTGTGATATGACGCATAGGTCGGAAGGTAGATGATGGGGTGAGTAGTTTTGATATTTACCCAGAGGGTTACTCTTTGATATCTTGATCTGTATCTGTATTTTGTGCATCTGCTTGTAATTAAACTTGTGTATATTAACATGATAGTGCTTATTTACATCATTGCGGGGGTTTCTTAAATTGAGAAAAGATTTCTTGTTATGATAAGCAATGGTGTCTCTAAATATTATGAATTTAAATTTCATACCTCGGCAACAGATTAGGAAATGTCTTCAGTATCACTCTGCTTGTTCTTTGTCAATTCTGTCTTAAGAAAGCTTATGAATGGTACAAATAAAAGACAAAGAAACCGTAAGAAAGGTTAACGGTCCCGGTATATTTCAGTATGCGCTATTTTACTTTTTGAGTCCGCTGTAGAGCAGAGCGACGCTATAGGATCACTTTACTCGGTGTCCGTCTGTTTGTCTGCCCGTCTGTCACTTTATCCCTTGAAAATGCATGAACTATAAAGCTACATACAAAATAAAACGCTGACAAGTGAAAGATTAGTTTGCATCTTTGATAATGCTAGAAAGCATGCGACAAAAGCGTTCCTTGGACTACTCTAATGGTACTCTACCTGATCCCACTTCTGATGTGTCTGAGGCCCGTGTTTGCTCTGCTCTTATTTTGTATTGTTTTATGGACTTTTGAGATTGAGTACTGTTCGTTATCTCCATATCCTTCTTTCCTTCTTCTAAATTTTGTATTTACATTTGGGTTAAAAAGTAAAATGAGGATGTTATTTACAGGTAATTCAACACCGACGAGACAACTCAACCGATTTCTACAGAACTTGGCAAGAGTACAAACAGGGATTTGGTGCTCCTCATGATAATCATTGGATAGGTAAAATCTATATTCTCAAAGGTTTTATTATCTAAATAATTGATAGATTAAATTCACATTCTAAATAATAAAGGTAAAATTCATATTATGAATAAAAAAAAAAACAAAAACAATTAAGATGATGGTTTGTCAATGTTGAAATTATTGAATAAATTATGATAGTTGACTAAACCCATGAAGACACAAAGTTGCAAGCTTCAGAAAAATCTGCATAGCTTCTAGCGAACAGAATGAAAAATTGCGAATAATATAATCATAACAAAATCAATCAAATTCATGTTCTTTGATTGTTTAATTAAAAGAATATATATGTATATAAAAGGTAAAAAAAAACCCATTAGGACATGTTCATTAAATGAATGCATGGTTCCTGACAATCAGAGAGCTAAGATAAATAAAGACGACGTTTACACAGTGTTTGAGTAGATAGAAAAGGACTAATATAATATCCAACGTCTGTAATAATTAAAAAATATCTAGACAGACAGAATAAACATGTTTTACACTGTTTCTATATGGAAATTCATTTTTTATTTCATCAATCTCATGCAAAAACTCACTATGGTTCACGCCTTAACTGTGGGATAAGAAAAAATTCCAAGAACTGATGTCCGAGGAATAAAGGGTGAACAGAGGATAAATTGTCAAATTGAAGTAAAATCATTACTTTGATTGTTTGAATAGGAAATGAAGTAATATATCAGTTAAGCAAGAGAAAGAACCAGAGACTGCGAGTCTCTCTTCAGAGTTTCCGTGGCGAGACAGCGTTTGTAGAGTACGAAACATTTGAGGTCGGGGACGAGGCGAGTAATTATATACTCACTCTGGCTGGGAATTCTGGAACAGCTGGTAAATATATTTTTATGATACTAATAAAATGTTACGAGGTTCTTTTGATTTCCTACTTTTTGGAAATTAAAAATGTTGTAGTTTTATATGTTTTTTTAGAAGTCTTTTATTGATCAAACATATGGCGTCATCAAAGCAACGAATAAATTCGCATCCTTATTCAGGATAAAAACTGTTATCTTTCCTTATTCAGGAATATTCATTAACTAACCTAACAAGTAATAATGGATGAAATTTAAAGAATAGGTTTCGTCAAGAAATATTTATTTAAACATTTTGACAATAACTAATGAGATTTTTTGACTGATTGTTGATAATAAGTACACCATCCTCCTGACCCCGCATGCTTTAGAGCAGCTCTTCTTCCAGAATCACGAAGAAAGCAGTTCATTCTAACGTTTCAGGACGCGAGAACCGATCTTTTAGATGGGACGGTATAAACCGAGATTTATATCGCAGTAGGACCTAACACGAAAACGATTCCTTTCAGCTCGAAGGCCTTGAGTACCGAGTATAGGTCTTTTTGCAGTCTTCCACAGGCAGTTGGTGGGGCCTCACATACAAAAGTGAAAAATCTCTAGAGGACCTTAAACAAACACACGAGAACACACACTCTCTCTCTTGTAACTACAAACAATTACGTTTTCATGGCACAGAAAGTCAACAGCTATTATGATCGCATTGTCCGTTATATGATAAACATGTTTTGACAAAGAATCAAAACCAAACTGGATGCTGTTATATTTATGTCGTTCTAAAATGAGCTTAATCCTAACACAAATCATGCTTAGAAAGAATAATTTGCTTCCAATGATTTTATTTAAATTTATTTTTTTAAAAACTTTTAAACAGGGGATGCTATGATTCTGAGCGATGGTAAAGGATTCACCACGAAAGACCGCGATAACGACATCTATGACGCCAAAAACTGCGCCGAAAAGCACCACGGCGCCTGGTGGTACCACATGTGTGGCTACTCAAACCTCAATGGGAAATACGGCGATCTTAATGTGTCTGGATTTGAGTACAATATCTGGTACTTCTGGAAAAATTATGAGCCATTACAAAAGAGTTGGATGATGGTAAAAACAAAAATGTAAATCATCATCAACACGAGTCAGTCAAAATGGATTTAATTACCCAGTGTTTTTCTTTGTCTTATCTTATAACGTACAATCACCATTTTTTAATAATTTTTTTACTTTTTCAACGAATTTTTTCTTTTACATATCTAAAAAGTAAAGTAACAACTCAACATTATTGAAATATATTTAGTTTATTGATTTAGGATTGGTATGTACGGTTTTTCAAGGTGTGTAAAAATTCAAAGACATCAAAAGAATCTAAAAACACATGTAATTTGCTGAAAATGGAGATTTCTATGCATGACGTTGTTATAAATCTAGCGCAGCGTCGGACTGGGCTGTGCAGTATGTGTATACAAACTATTTATGTTGATGACGCTCGAAATTTTTTGTGCATTATTTTGAATTTTAAAAATTAAATAAATCATATTTTGTACTTAAAGATTATTGATACACTTGGAAGTGTGGCTCCATTTAAAAAATGTATTGAGTGTCCATGAACATGTGTTAAAATTCAAAATGCAAAGGATGACGTTACAATGGAATTAGCTCGACGTCAGACTGGTTCGTGCACACTATCCGCGACCTTTAAAGACCCCGATTTTTACAAAAATATTAAGTTCCATCAATAAAAATTTAATCATTCTGACTTTGATTTTCATAAGAAATATTTTGATATACAATAGATTTATATAGAATCATTTATTTTAACAAAAACGTCGATGTCCACGAACTTTTTGGACAACCCTCGTAAAGTAAAATCACCATTTTTTTCAATGATCGGTTGTTCACATTTTTTCTCTTAAATACATCTAAATAAAAGTAAAATTGCCATTTTTCAATGATTGGTTGTTAACATTTTTTTCTTTTAAATACATCTAAATAAAGTAAAATAACCATTTTTCAATGATGGGTTGTTCACATTTTTTCTCTTAAATGCATCTAAATAAAGTAAAATCACCATTTTTCAATGTTTGGTTGTTTTTATTTTTTTTTCTCTTGAATACATCTAAACAAAGTAAAATCACATTTTTTCAATGAATGGTTGTAAGCATTTTTTTCTCTTAAATACATCTATATAAAGTATTACACGTTTATAACGAAGTGTCATGGACAGGTGATTTTGCTTCGTTATGCACAGTTTGTTTCTGTAAAGTGTATAAAATATTGTACATTTTTAATTTTCGCCTGATGTTTAAATGTGAATATTTAATATGAACAAAACACAAAATGGTTACCAATCAAAATCGAAGTTAAATTTTAATTGTTCTATATCTACTAAGGGTAAAGGGATAATTCTAAATGCATCTTTCCTAAGTAACCATTAATGATACAGACAGATAATTATCACTACAGAGGAAATATCCTCGGACAAAATTAGAAACAACTTTAATAAATAAGTCTGACAGTCGGTAGTTAAAGTGCACGGAAAGAAAAAAAAACAAAACAAAAGTTAATCAAAATTTTAAATATTTTATAAATCTATCAATAAATGGATTTTTAGGACAAACCTAGGCTCCTCCACAAAAGAGAATTTAATATCATTGCATTGAGTAAGGAATGCATGCCACGTTTAATCATCACAAACGTCTGCTTGAATCATGTTTTAGTCGGTCTCTAATTTATGTCAAAATGTAATAAAAAGGAAGTAAAGAAGTATACTTCAATCATACTTTAATCAAATATCAAACTGTTATAAAACAAAGAAAGAAATTATCGAAATTTTTATGGGTGGAATAATGTAATTTTTATTTTTTTTTTAAATGAAAGGCAATTGCTATTTTTTCTCTTATCAGTTGTACATCAATGTTCGTTAAATAGTATCGATCCTTTGAGAAGCTAAATGTTCAAAAGCATGTTCAATTTTATATGTGATGTATGAGAGACGTTTCTTACTTAAAATAAAAATATGATTTATTTGTATGTAAATAAGATGTTATTTTTTAAACTTTGTTATCAGTTAATTTTTTTAAAATTAAGTATTATTTTTGCATTATTATGCTTCTGTTAAAATATAAAATAAAGTTGGTAACAATTAGGAGAAACGTAAGAAATACATAGAAATCTATTCAAGTCTTTCAAAATACTGAAACTAATGAATGAAATGGTATTATTCATGAAAAAAGAACACATACTGTATGTGTACTTATATATTTTCATAATTGTTATGCAGCTAAATATTCCATTACACTAAATATTACCTCAATATTGTGTATATCATATAAAATCAATTCTTGTTCAAACAAAATAGCTTATTTTGTCCTTTATTTGACCGAACACAAAAGAGGGCTTCGCCATTTTATTTAAACATTTACAGTTTAATACGAAAAATGGCATCAATTCGTCTAAATAATTAAGATTTTGTGAACAGAAGATACTCTTCTTGAAACGAATCTGTTAAAAAAAGTGTCAACAAATACAGAGGTCCCTTTTACAAAAGAATTACCACTAAGACCAAAAACAATGGAGTGTAAATGTTTGTTTTATGATTAATGATTTTGTTTAAATTGCTAGCAAAAAGTATCGATCTTTCAACACACATTTTAAAAATTAAAACCAGTTTTATTAAATTGAAACCAGAGAGTTACCAAGAATTTAAATTTTGGTCTTTTGTTCTTTTGCAAAACGGACCCCTGATCGTTCCTTTTCTAAACTTTGACATTTTTGTTCACATAAATACAAGTCATTTAGGTATAAATAGATTACAGTGTATGAAAACAGTCTCTGTAGATAAAATGAACAATATAATAAGTTTAATTTGATGGAAATTATTTGAATAAAAAATATACACCAACAATGAGTTGTAAATGATTCGCAACTGAACATTGATTAAAACCGAAAATCTTCAGAAAACAAACATAGTCATGTGTCTTAAGATCATAGTCCTAGTTAAGCGGAAATAAGCACTTAATTCATGCAAAGATTTAAAAGAAATTCTTATTTTAAGCTTATTTATGTTTAAGGGTAAAATAACAAAAACCCTTAACCTTTCTAATATAATTATGATTATAAAAGTACAATATGAAAAATTCTAGGTAAATGCAACCAATTTATGATTCTTTCTACTTGTCTTATGAAATACTTGGACATAGTTTCAGACAGATAAAAATAACTGTAAAATTTATGTCACTATTGTAATTTTTATCTTCTGCGTTCTGTTTTCACAACCTTATCGGAAGACAAAAGAAATATTGAAGCTAAATCAAATGTATATTGTACCTGGTAAGGAACGGACGTATCTTTTCACACTACTATGCTATAGGTGCACACTACGTAAGTGAAAATTAAAATGTTTTTGCTAAGTAATACCTGTCAAAGGTGAATATTCAATATCAACAGTCTCGTTTAAAGTCATAATTTCGTAAATGTTATGGTCGATACAATGACCTTGTCAGAAAATACAATTTATCATTGATCGAAATGCGGAGTGACTTTTTTTATACGAATTGTTAGTCCATTATTTATACACTGAATTGACGACGGATTTTCCCGTTATTTCCCGATCATAACAAATAGCACACAGCGGGTGTGACCGGTCAGCAATGGATGCTCACTCCTCCATGGCACCTGACCCCACCTCTGATGTTTCGGAGGTCCTGTTTGCTGTGCTCCTATTTTTTTTTATTGTCTCATGAACTTTGAATGATATTGAATACTGTTCATTATCTCCATATCCTTCATGAATAAAGCCCCTGTCACGATTTATAGCTACGATTCATCACGATTTCAAAAATCGCAGCAAGTCGGAATTTATCGTAGAGGTAGTCGTAGCATATCTTCCTTACTAGTGTTGAAATGCAGCAAATCGGCAAACTCGGCGATTGTTTTGAGCATGTTCAAAACAACCGTGGACACAGTATGATTTTTAATTATTCGTAGACAATCGCACAGCACTCGCACTGCAACCGTACTCACATTCGTAAGTAAATCTTCGAAGTTCGTGGACATTCGCAGAACTTCGTAGTACTCTCGACACAATGAGAGTCCTAGGTGTTACTTCGAGTATCCTTCGAGTTTGTGCGTGTGTTTTTCGAGTTACTGCAATTGTACATGTCCTTCGATTGTTCTACGATAGGATCATAGTATGTACGATTTTCCCGTGAATGTGATTCGAAAAGGAACGATTGGTGGCAAGTGCTGTACAACTACTGTGCGATTGAAATACGATGTCAGCAGGCGTTGTCTGATGTAAACACAGTTGAAATCAAAATACCGCCTAAAGTAGAAGAAGAAAAGTGAAATAAACTGAAAAAGCATGTGTCACAGTTCAATATAAAGACCATTTTCAATAAATACATGAAACGATTGAACGTAGTCAAATGCACCAAACTGTAGCTTTTATGCTTCTCAAATCACTTCACTATTGTGTTTAATAATTTCAGATAACTCTCAATTTACTCTATATTCATTAATTACATGTGTACATTTAAAAAAATCGCCATTAGTCGTAGGCATATCGTGTATGTAACGTGGCATATCGTAGTCCTTCTTACGTGTATCGTATGTAACCGCTCTTAATCCTTCATTATCGTAGAAATATCGTAACCAGCTCGTAACGCTGTCGCCTCAGTTCGTACATAAATCGTAGAAACCTCATACTTTGTCGCACAGACATCGTAGACACACCGTTCTAGCAGCAAAACATTCCACAAGAAAACATCGCAAGACTAACTAGGCGATGAACGGCGGTTTTCGTTTTTTTCTAATTTATGGGCAATCGTTGTATAAATCGCGACAGTGTGACACGACCTTAAGGGGAATTGAAAAGTTAAAGCCATCACGTTTATTAATTTTTAAAGTTTTGTTGTTATACAACAATTAATGTCTTTCCAAATATGAAACTCTTTCGTCAGACTCTGAGGTGTCTTTTATTTCAAGGTCATTGGGATTTAGATGTATCGTTTCCACATAAGAATGGAAATACCTACATCTATTGTTCATTGACAATACGTCGTTGATATGTCTTAATGTCGAGTTGAAGGCTACAGCAAGTAATTTTTTCTTTTCACTTTAAAGATTTTTGAACAAATTCTTCTTAATATGAATACGAAAATAGGTCTGATAAATGAACGTGAAGTATATGGAGATAACGAACAGTATTCAAGCACAAAAGTCCATTAAACGATACAAAATAGAAGCAGAGCAAACACAGTCCTCCGAAAGATCAGAAATGGGATCAGGTGCCATGAAGGAGTGAGCATCCCGACCGGTCACACCAGCCGTGTGACATATAACATAATGTCCATTGCTGATTCTTTAGGTTACTTTGTACAATTATAGTCCTCTTTTTCCTTTTCTTGCTAACAAAAATTGTCAATATCAAAAGTAATCAATAATCAAATAACCTAGTTTTTTTAAAATCTGAAGTACTGAGATGTAGCCTGCACATATATAACTCTTAGTTAGATGTGCATACGCATGCTGTGCTTTAGGACCAGTGTATCATTGAAAAAGACTTTGTTATCCAGAAGACTACAAAGTCCTGAGGCTGATTTGGTAAAGTAAACACATATTTATCATGTCAGGATTATCCATACTTTTGATGTTATCAATAAAGTGAAGACGTTGTGAGCATTCTTAAAAGGTTATTTCCTGTCTGTTTTGATAAACACGGATACCTTTTAAATGTAATTTTTTTTAATCATTTAAACATTGAAAGATAAATAAAAGTAAAATGTTATCCCTGACATTCAGTTCAAATAACTAAAGTTCATAAAAATTTAATGTTAATTTAAAATTAAAATTATTTTAAAGAAAAACTTTTAAAAAAAGATTAAATTAAATATTATCAAAATATGATATCTATCAATTCTTAACCATGTAATCAGAAAAGCCGTTTCTGTCCTTATTTCAGACAGTAAAATACAATACAAATAGAAAGTTTATTTATTTTGATAGTTTTGAGACTGGATAAAAGTTTTTTTTCTATTGATATAATCAAGTGACTTGTTGGCATGCACTACTAAAAGAACAGATGTTAGTCACAAAGATGTATTGTTCAAATTAGGAATGAATAGCATTACAATCTCTCTGAATATTATGGAGAAATAATTTCATTTAATTAAAATATTTAGAAGCCATATACAAATTTATCTATTTGAACAAAATAAAGATTTTTACACCTGTTGATATTTGCCAATCTTTATTCTTGATGATATTTGAGGCCTATATTACAATTTTAGAATTTTTACTTGTTTTTGCTCCTTTCCTATCAAAAAACAGTAAAAAAGTGGTTTCAAGTCTAAAGTGATCTGACCTACTGGTATATTTCATTTATTACATGTACTATGATACTGGTGCAAGGAGTTTAGGGAAGGGATTAGTCTATTTAGGTTGTAGGGTACTTGTTTTGTATTAGGAGGATGGGCTTTATAGGGTGGTGTTTAGAGTAAGTCACTCCCTTTGTATTTGATTGGTTAATATCCTTTGTATTTGAATGGTTAAGCCATTGACAATATTTCCTGTTAAGATGGTATGGTTTGGGAATTGTCTATTTAGCTATTGGGGGTCATCATTTTTTGTTAGAAGGGTGTAGTTTTTGGGTTGGAATATGTAGCATGTGGGGTCATTCTTTTCTGTTGGGAGGGCTAGATTATAGAGAGTGGCTTGTAGGCAGCTCTTTTGTATTGGTTAAACTTCTTGTTTGTGTTTGATTGGTTAAGCCCCTTGGGTTGTCATCTCCTGTTATTAATATAGGGTTGGGGTTAGTCTATTTAGGTTGTAGGGTGGGTGGGCTTTACCGACGTTTTTCATACTAATTGTTAAGCCATTATTTGTTCGGATTGTCCAGTTATTTCGGATCAAGAGAAGGGGCACACGGCAGGTGTGACCGGTCGGCAGTGGATGCTCACTCCTCCATGACACCTGACTCCATCTCTAATGTTTTGGAGGTCCGTGTTTGCTCTGCCGAAAAATTTGTATTATTTAATGGGTTTTTGGGCTTAAATACTCTTTGTTATCTCCATATATTTCCCTCTGTAAATTGTACAATATCAAAAAGGAAAATATGATTTTTAAAAGTACTTGCATCAAAATAAGAGACAGATAAGAAATGTAAATATGTATTGAACATTTTGATAAGTCTGATACCCAATTAGAATCTCTTTCTCGGCAACAGAGATTATTTTATCAGTCTTATAGCCCCGATTATTTTTCTTACAAAAACAATTTTCAAAATTCTGCGTAATCAAAAAACAAATATACAATATTTATTTACTGATATTAAGAAAGACCACTGGTGTAAATCACATGCTGTTTTTGAGGACCGGCGTCTTATGGGAAGACATTTGTCGAAGTCCATGTGTTTATTTAGTGCAATGAACCAATATTTTATTATCTGATATTTGCAATCTTTTAGGCAAAACAGATTGAGTTTTGTCAACAACCCTTTTTCACATTTGATAGACGCTGATGTTTTAAAGGTGAGAATTTCTTATATCAAAGCAAGAATATGCATAAAATATATTGAGAATCGAAATTAAAAGTTAAGTCCCTGACATTAAGGACAAATGATACAAACAAAATACGGATGCCTAGATTGGTATATATATTTTGGCCTAATTTTATTGCAAATGATATAAATAACAAATATCTAGAATATACTGGCTTTAAAATTAATTCTATTTTGAATTTTTAAAGGAACTTCTTCATCACATCTAAAAATGATACCAACAATATCCTATATTCTGATTTTGGTTTATCTACAACAGACTTATGGTAAAAGTAAGTTAAATATTGTTTTTATTCTTAAAACATTAAGTAACTTAAGCCAAAGAATACGACTGAGTAGAGCTAATTCAAATCGACACGTGATTACGAGGAAATATGTAAAATTAGTACAGGATGGCGCGGTAAGACTTATCGGTGGACGCTCTTGGGGAGAGGGCAGAGTCTTGGTGTATCATAATGGGGTGTTTGGAACGGTATGTGATGACCATTGGACAGAGAAGGAAGCTCGAGTTGTTTGCAGAATGTTTTCAAGGTTTACTTCATTCACTATGTTACAAAACGCTTAATCCATCAAATCTTTGCTAGTTTATACTTTGCTGTTGCACAAATATCATAAAAATAAAGTTACTTTGATATAAGGATTTTTAATAGCATGTGCACATAAACTTTCTGTCACTTTTTATTGTACTTTTCATCATGAGTTGATTAATTCTTACTTTAGAAATATTCACCGTCTAAATATCATTTGAGGATACATCTAATCTTGCTTTACAAAGGAATTTCTTTACAGTAGTTCCATAGCTATAGCAAAAGGCAGCGCTTATTTCGGACAGGGTTCTGGGCCTATCTGGCTTGACGATGTGACCTGTAATGGGAATGAGTCTAGTATAACCCAATGTAGTAACAGAGGTTGGGGATCACACAACTGCGATCACAGCGAAGATGCTGGGGTAGTATGTATTGGTATGGTCACTTAACGTATCCCTTTGGTTAATATTGTACTTCCGGTCATCTCAGACTCTTAAAAGAATCAAATATGAATCACACTCACAAACATTTACGGAGTCAACAATTCAATTTGAATCTGTTCTCTTGTAAACCTATGAATGCACAATTTTGACTGAAAAGTGGTTCCGAACCATATTTTAGAATATTGAGAAAAATTATTTATAATTTAATATATACATTTGTGGTATTTCTCTATTATATAAACATACAGAGAGAAAATATCTTCAATTCTGTATGAAGTTTGTCAGAGGTCAGAGGTCAATATGTGACCTAATCACACGGCGCAATAATATCTACCGGTACATAAATTATAAAATGACCTGCTCTACTTGCTTTTCATGTATAAAAATGAACAAAACAAGCAAGTAAAATGATAATTATTGTATTTAAAATGTAAACAAGTTTTTCATACAGTTTTTGGGCTATCGATTCTACCTGTGTACATAGAGAAAACTAGGAGCCTAGCGTTTGTTTACATTTTTCTTCACTTTTGTCAGCTACACAGTCTCTAACGTTCATCCTTATTTTTGGGGGTAGACTTTTGGTTAAATTTTAATGATAAACTTTTATTTTATCTTTAAATTTTACTCATGATAAATGTGTAAATCTATTGAAAAATATCATTGCAATCATGCCATGAACAGCTGCCAAACACCTCGGCGTTTTCGTAGTTCAATGTAAAGCTGTCGCCAGTGTCTCCGTATTTATCAGTGTTTTACGATAAGTATGCCTTTAGTTACTGAAACCGTAGAATGTTTTTGATCAAATTTCAAATTAAATGGCTCGGACAAGTGTCTCAATCCATCGGATCCATCCATCCCTTTCCAGCGACCGAAATTCCTCCAACTTTTATCATCAAACTTCGGACGTGTTTCTTGTGTTCTTTTCAGCATCGATTATCATTTTTCACGAATAAAAATATTCCCAGACAACAATCTGTTCACTATTACTGATCACAAGTAGCCTTTCACAAAATATTCCCTTCGAAACAGATTCCTTAGCCTAATGCATTCGAAGCGTAACCGCCATGCAAGCCGATTTACACCTTGCGTCATTTTTCAAAATCTACGACAGACGGTTAGTGCAAGAATTTAAATTCGAAAATATTCAATTGTCTGTCTCAAATGTATATGTAAGTAATAAATAACAAGTTTATAAACTTCAGTGGGAATTGAAGTGGGTTGGTACGTGATCAAATCTTCTGAGAAGGCCTTTGGCCTTCACAGGATTTGATCACGTGACCGACCCACTTTAATTCCCATTGAAGTTTATAAACTTGTTATTTATTTCTTAAACATACTTACATGAACAGTGTATATATATATATGTAAATCGGGTTGCATGGCGGTTACGCTTTGAATGCATTAGGCTAAGGAATCTGTTTCGAAGGGAATATTTTGTGAAATATATATATATATATATATATATATATATATATATATATATATATATATATATATATATATATATATATATATATATATATATATATATATATATATATATATATATATATATATATATATATATATATATATATATGCATACACAATGTACTATAATACATTTTTTATTTTATTATTGATAATTAAAAAAAATGCTATTTGGTTTGTAGATCCTTGCGTCAGCAATCCTTGTCAGAATTATGGCGCATGCCATGTACATGCTGACAGTTATACTTGCTCATGTAGAAGTGGATTTACTGGTTCATTTTGTCAAACAAGTAGGTATCAAAATATTTAATACTTAAGTGAAAGAAAGTTTATACAATATTATATATCTAAGACAGATATAGGGATGGCAATAAAATTCAGAGTTGAAAATCGGTTAATCGCAAAATTTTTTAACTTTCTTCATAAGCGTAAAATATTTTTTAAAAAGTTATTCTTGTTTTATTAATACTTGATAAGCACATTTAGTTTCAAATATTAAACTCAATTTCAAAAGGCACAAGAAAGTGTACGAAAATCGTGAAACATCATAGTGTTATCAAAGTGATCGTTGTTTTTAATCAAATGTTACACAAAGTAATGTCACCAAAAAAAAAATTCTTTGATTTTCTGACATTTAGATATCAATGAATGTGCAAGTATTCCCTGCCACAACCATGGTATATGTCATGACAATGTCAATAGCTTCACTTGCACTTGTGCAAATGGATACACTGGAAAGAGATGTGAGATAGGTATCGTATGGAAAATCTTTCTTTATTAACACAGAATAACAATTTCATAGACATACATTTACATTTTCCAAATGATTTAAAATGCTCTGGGAAATCTTAAATAAAACAATATAATGAAGAATATTAAAAATGGAAATAAGCCAAATGTTCAAAAAATAAATATGGCGATAACAAACGGATTTCAAACTCAAAAGTCCATTCAACAATACTAAATAGGAGTAGAGCACAGACAAGCCTCCAAAAAATCAGAGAAGGTCACCTCTAATATTGTAAGATGCCCGTATTAGCTCGTTCTCAATGCATATGTGGACTTTTAAGCTTAAACTTGATAACTGTTTGTTATCATCAAGTTTTAATTAATTAACTGTTTTTTTAATTTATCTTAAGAATACTTCTATATGTAATAGATATCAACGAATGCCAGAGCGATCCGTGTCAAAATAATGGAACTTGTAGAAATGATGTAAATAACTTCACATGCCTCTGTCATCCTGGATTTACTGATGTATTATGTCAAACAG